TGCTAATATTAAACACTGTTTTGAAATATTTTTCAACTATACAGAAAGAATACAACAAGCGAAAAAAAAAATGAAAAGAAAATTGTTTATTTAAATTGTTGCTTCTGACATAGTAAAAAAAAAAAGAACACTTTCCCCTTTCATCATTTAAAACCATTTGGTGCCTAACCAAATGTCACTTAAAGAACTGCCAAAAAAATAAAGAAAAAGTTCCATAGAAAAAAGTTAATTCTAAAAATTTTCAGGTAACAGCAATGTATACGTTTTTAAAATTAAGTTTTCACCATATTAACAGTTCATATGGCAGATGTAATAAACCCCATCTGAGAAATAAACATTAATTTTGAGAAACTTTGACTTAAATCCAAATACAGCAAACCTGAAACCCATGTATTACTCAACTAGTTAAGGAAGCATGATATCCTTTGCATTACTTTCTCTACTTCATATACATTTCCTATACCAAAATCTCGATGTCCCAGGATGTCTAACAGACAGCATTGCAGTAACTCTATCTAAAAAAAAAAAGCCTTCTATGTTATCGGATTACTGCGACACAACATCTAACGAATTACACTGTAAGAAAGCCAAAAAGACAATCACAAGATGTAGTTCTGGTACAGTAAATAGGTCAAAAAAATTCAAAGCTACACCGCTACCCAATGTCTCTACAGCTCTGTTTTTTCTACGGTAGGCAGATGAACATATTAAGCGCTTTCAAATACCCGTTTTCACCGAGCCTATAAAATGGTCAAAAAATGCTCGGCTACGAAACGGGACCAAAGGAGTTGAACTGCTAAGCGGTAAGCTGGTTTTTTTTTTTTTTGCCGCTACACGAAACATTGATTACATTACGGCCATGGTTTTAATTGAATGCTAAAAAGTATGCAGTTATGCTATCTGACGTACGTTTTGTGAGAGAGCATCGTACAAACCTAATTTAAAATTTTAATTTTGTGGTAGCTTTTCCAATTAAAAGTCAGCAACAGTGTGCTGTAGATTCGCTATCCACTTTTTTTTTGTTCCTTCCATACGATGGCATATAATTTGGAAGACTTTTAAGAATAATAATTTGTCTCATTTTTTTCTTCTCTGTTTATGCGTTATGTTGGCAAACGTTTCAGTTTTAAATAAGTTGAGAGAACTGACAGTGTGATATCAAATTATAAGATGCACATTGAAAACGAGTATTCGGAAGTTCTGAGTATCTGCTCTGTCAGCGAAACCATGGCTATATGCCGTTGTCGGAATAACTACAAAGTGGTTGATGAAAAAATAGACCCAAAGAGGTGTGGCCTCTATTCCCGAGTTAGAAAGAAAGGTGGAGCCTTGGATGCAGATTTGACCCATCGTTGTGTTAAACCCCCCCCTGTGCTAACTGAGCGCCAAAAAATATTTTTTACGCTTTCTAGCAGACCTATGTACTTTTTATTTGGGCTATATATATATATAATTTATTACACATCAAATGCAGTTTCTTGATGTTCTGTAGAATTACTCGTTTTATTTGATTTTGTTTGCCATTTCATTTTCCAATACTTTTCTAATGTTTACACTGTATTTTTTTAAACCTTCTTTAAAATGAAGATACGAATTTACTTGAATTGAAGTCGGCGAGTTCTTCGCGTTTGTTCTATTATACGACAATAACCAGAAGTGGCGCTTAGAAGAAGACAGCAACAATATCAAAGAAAAAAAGATTTTACAATCGAAAAATATGATACTAAAATACCCTAATTTTGAAGTGGTATTAAAAGTGAGAAGTGCACTGCCAAACTTAATTAAGGACAATATCTAAATTTTGGCTGTTGACGTGTGGTGCTGAGGACGGAAACAGCTAAAATTCCGTTGCACTGGATGAAGGAAATCATTAGCCCGGTTAAGAGCGAGGTGAAGAACGAGAAGTACGCCACGAACATGTTATAAAAAAGAAGTGAATTTTTTAAGGTATGAATACGAGTAGGATCTCGGAGAAGTGGGATAGATAAAATCAATGGTTAATGACAGAAGTATCAAGACAATAAGTTACTAACGCAATTCACCACTTTTTTTAAGGCTCTAGATTTTCGCAGTCCTACCAATTTTCAACTTTTTTGAAGGATTAAGAATAGAGCTATCTGTCCCGTCTTCTCGCTAGACCCCCCAAGTTGTAGGGATGATTCAGCTCCCTTTGTGGCGTTTTCGATTGAAGCCTAGGAACCCCCTGGACCGTAAAACATATAGGCTGAAAATAGATTGAAAGCATCTGGTTGTCTAAATATAGTATATCCTGTAAAACAGCTTTCTTTCCGCCGAGGTACAAGGGATAGGGTATGGAGGCGAGCCAATTGGCATTAAACCAACATGAGGGGATTGCTAATTTTCTTCTTGTTCTATAGAGGAAGGGAAGGATTTT